GAGGAGGAGGAGGAGGAGGAAAAGCAGAAGGCCTGCATGAAGAAACATACAAAGAAGAAAACTCTGAAAAACAAATCATGCAAATTTAAAAAAAGGCACAGAGCTTGTTCAGAGTCACCTCAGAAATAACCCACTCAGATGAGGCTGTCCGGAGGGCCTGAGTCCTCCTCTTCACATAGAGCCAACCCCCAAAGTCTCCTCCCTGAAAAGAGAGTAAACAGGAAAAGTCCGACCTACAGAAGGAAATGGCTCACAGGCCAGGTCCTTACTAAAGCTGCTTAATGCCAGGTGAAGGTCGTCGGCTTCAAAGGAAAGCACAGGCACACAGCAGCTCTCGGCACCATCGCCGGCACTGCCAGGGGAAAGGGAGCGGCGTCCAAGGACCAAAATTATTCTCCGAAGGTGAAGGAAATAAAGAAGGCCTCTGTCAGAAAGTAGGGTGGGAGAGGCAGAGGAGAATCCAGCGGATAATGCTGCTCCCGAGGAATCTACCAGCTTCCAACTTCTGTCTGGAGCCAGAGTGTGGCAGAAAGCGAGGGTCTGGATGACGCACGTCAGGCCGACTGCATGCTCTGTGAAATGGAAATGGCCTCTGGTCGGAGCTCGCTGAGGGATTGTTTCCACCACTGCTCTTCTCCCCTCTTCGTAGGACAGCACCACACAGAGTCCCGTGCTGCTCTGGCTTCACCTTCTGTTAAGTGCATCTCCGAAACTGATGATGATGAAGGTGTCCACAGTCACCTTGGACGTGACCTCGTGGCAGCTGGTCAGAGAGTTGTGATGATTGTGGGTTGCCTGGGGCTTCGATGGTTGCCTAAGAAACCAGCACAAAAAATTCAAAGGAAGCCCTAGCAGTACAAGTGACTGAAAGATTTGCTTGTATCTTCTATGATTGTTCTCCTAGGAAGGAAAAAATTACAGCAAACACCTCCAACGCTGTTTAGGTAACGTGTACTTCCTTGAAAAAGCAGCTAAAGTCAGGAGCAGTTGAATTTTGAACAAAATTACAGTTTTAATTTGTAAGAATTATTACATTTTATATTTATTTATAGTAGTAGACGACCTTCTAAGATCGTTTCAGTGTCCCATGTTGATGTTTTTAAGTGGTACTTTTTTCCTTGAGGACTTTCTGTATACCTGTTGATGTATGCATTGTAGTAAGTCCAAAAACAAAGGAGCTAGTGTACTAAAACGGGCAGAAACCTGACTAGCTTTTGTGTTTACTTGAAACGAGAAGGCCCTGGAGGTATAACAGCATCAGTTGCTCTGTCCAGCTACAGCTCATTGGTTTTTCTCTCCATGTCTGCTCTCTTCCTTGCATAAGGACAGGACTTACTGTGGGTCTCTACTTTTGTGACCACAACTAACCTTAATTACCTTATGATGGCCCACCTCCAAAACCCATCACACTGAGAATTAGGGCCTATGAAATTAGAAGCAAGTATTCAGTTTATACACCCCATACATTGAAACACACACACACACACACACACACACACACACACACACACATGAAATCAAGGAAAAAGCAGAAACCACCCGCACAGGCAGGTCAGAGAAGGAATGAATGACAGCAGAGTTAGCTGGCGCTGTGTGGCATCCCTGGTGATCAGAGAAAAGCAGGCCAACAGTAAAGGGAAATACTTGCCATTCACCAGATCGTGACCAGTGCAAAGAAGCTGGTGAGCCCGTGTGCAGAGTGGAGCCCCATGTACTGCCGGCCATGTGGGCTGCTGCAGGCAACTGAAGGGAGGTACGGCTGAAGGGGATTTCCATGCATAAAAACTCAGGATTCAGTGTGTAATTGTGGCCCACAGGCACGGGGTCACATGGCCACATGGGGATGCTAATGAAGCTCAGGTGTGGATTGAAATCCCCCAAAGGCCTGTGTGTTAAACGATTGGTTCCCAAAGAGGAGCTGCTGGGAGCTGGTGGAGCCCTTAGGAAGTAGGGACTCATGGGAGGTCTTCTGCTTGGTGATGGAGGAAACAGTGTGGCCCTGGCCTCTTCCTCTTCTCTTTTTACTCCCTGGTCTTGAGGCTCTGCCATGGTTTTGCTCTGCCATGTTTTTCTGCAGTGATGAGCAGCTTCGCCTGTCCCCAAAGTGACGGGACCATCCAGCCATGGATTGGAACTTCCAAAATCACAAGCCAAAATAAACCTTCCGTATTTGTAAACTGATTATCTCAGGTATTTGTTACAGTGATGGAAAGTTAACGTGCACAGATATAATGGCAGTGTGTAGTTAGAAGCAAAGTAGGTGTCATGGTTTATATCCAGATGTCCCCTTACGGCCTCGTGTAATCATGGGCAGGTCCTTTGGAAGGTGACTGGGATACAGGGATGGTATATCTGGCTTGATACGAGGAGGTAAGGTCTGACTGGAAGAAGGGGGTCACTGAGAACACGGCTCGGAAGGGTTTATCTCCCACCCCGACTCCTCCGTTGATGTCCTCTGCTTCCTGGACACCAGACCACAAGTACCTCTCCTCTGCCATGACCCTGTCTGTGCCATGCTGTCCTGTACTGGAGCCAGCTGACTATGGACTGAGAACTCTCCAAACTGTAATCCAAAATACATCTTTCCTCCTTCAAATTGTAGGTGTTGGGTATTATGTCTCATTGATGAGAAAGTGACTAAGAACACTAGGTGATGATAGGAAAATGGAAAAATAAATGTTTTCTAAGCACAACCTACAGCAGTCTGAAGCTTTGAACTGGACTTATTCATAGCTTACAGAGCTATCTTAAAAACATTATTGTATAGATAAAATGGTTCAACATTGCACAGCTAGTAAGTGATGAAAATGGGTCTAGAACCAGGGTTATCCATCCTAGTATTGCTTGTAGTAGCAAGATGTTGTACACAGCCCAAATGGACATTAGTTAGTTCAGATAAAACAAACCATGGTACATCCAAGCAGCACAGCATTATGCCTATAAGACATCGGAGCCCATCTTTTTGCCATTGGCCAAATCTGGCTCTGTCTAAAACAGAAGGGAAGATAAAGCTGCCTTAGGAATGCTCTAGGTCTGATCCAGGACTGGCCACACAGTCAGTGCTGTGATTAAGGAGACAGGACCCAGACTGGGTCAAGCCTGAGTTGTCTTCCGATTATGGGTCCTGATGACACAAGTCCCGCACAAATATGCTGCAGGGACAACACAGCTGGGCAGTGACAGAACCAAAGCCAGCAATGATTTGAGCACTGACTGCATGGGAACCTTCTGAACTGTTTTTCTACCCCCACCCCACCCTCAACTGGAATTCACAGGGCAGCCATGTGGATTCTAAAAGGTTGTGGCTCTTCTAAATGTTAAACATATTTTCTCCATTCTGCAAGTCACCCCCGCAACTACAAAGATTTAAGGAAAATATTTGAAATATTCTTTTTTTTCCTGGAAATAAATGGCAAGATTAAAACATCATAAAAATGAATCAAATCAGAGCAAAGGGCAAGAGAGAAACATCTCAGCCCCCTTTTTCCATGGAAGAGGAAGTTTTATATAAGGGGAACAGACCTTAAGCTTGGGGTACGGGCAGAGGGAGGAGTGGGAGTAAACAAGGCCACTGTGTATTGAGATTCAGATGTGTTCAGAAGGAAAAAACTGACATGGCAAGTGTTAGGTCTGAGGAAGAAACTTCAGGGGGTTTGCAGAGATGTACTGCACTCTTGTTCCTCCAGAACACTCCAGTGACCAGAGAGGTCCCAGGAAAACCATATCCGTGGTGATTCTCATGATGATGACAGTGGGCTGAGGAGGTGGTGCTGGGAAGGGAAACTGAGGGGTCCTGAACCCCTATTCTTAGCCCTAACCTGCTGAGGGTCTCCAGAACAGCTCTTGTATTCCTTGATAAGTGGCCCTGTACCCCATCCCCCCTTACCCCACGTCAGGGTGCGGGGCTCAGGCAGCCCCTCATGCTGCACACGGCACGTGTAATGCTGCTCCTCTCCGGAAGGCACCGCCACAGCCGCCCACTTCTGGAAGGTTCCGTCCCCTGCAGGCCTGGTCTCCACCAGCTCCATGTCCTGGGTCAGGTCCTGCTGCCAGGTCAGGGAGATCTCGGCGGGGTAGAAGCCCAGGGCCCAGCACCTCAGGGTGACCTCATCAGAGGTGGGATCATTGGTCATGTGTATTTTTTTGGGTGGGAGGGGTAGAAAGGGTCAGAGATAATTTAGAAAGTTTGGTTTCCCTCCCACGCACCATTTGTGCAGAAATCATGTGATTGCCCATGAATTGAGGTCAGTTTGGTTGTGGGGAAAGCACACAAAACTCATACATCAGCCTGGATGCAAGGAAGTCTGCTAGGATCTACTCCTGAGGAAAGTGAAATGGCCTAGGGCATGAAGCACCACCTGAAAAGAGGAAAGGAGGCTTCTGGTCCTAACACAGAGTGAGGCTCCTAAAAGGCTGTGTGGGTGGGGCTAGAGGACCGGGTTTGAGGCACAATCTCTCCTCCACTGCTTTGTTCCGCTGCTGCGGCCAACGAGAACTGTGACCAGCGACTTCCCGAGATCCACCCTTTCTCAGCCTTGTCTCAGCAGTCTTCTTTCCCCGGCCAGGTATCTGCAGAACACTCCAGACTCCCAGGGAGGCCTTCAGGCACTTGGCCACATCACCCAGAACGCTTGAACGGTGCAAGTGGCCGCTGTGGGGCAGAGTACAGTCTTCTCTGTGATGCGACCAGCAGCACCGTGCCAATTGATTACAGCCAGAGGAGCACCCGTCAGGTCCGAAACAGCCTGTAACAGCAGGGTGGCATCTGGTCGGCCCTATTTACACTGCCACACCCCTCCCACGTAAGGCGGAGCCTCTGCAATTGGTCAGAGGTGCTTACTTAACAGCGTGGCTTGAAAATAAACCTTGAAAAATCAAAATACTGTGGGGATTCACCAGGGTGTGTCTGGCAGATGTCACTGTCACCCTGGCAATTCCTGTGGGTTATGCCCGCTCCACTCATCAGCCCTACTCCCGTTGTAGGTGCAGAGTAGGGGTCCTCAGGTGCCTTGGGTAAATACACCCACACTGCTGTAGATGGGTCTGGTGTATTGCTTATTCAGGACACTAAACTCTGGCCTCTGTTCTACCTTCGGCACATACTGCTGGGACACCGTGATTCTGAAATCTTTTGCCGTGGGAGTCGGCGGGGAGGGAGGAGCTGGACCAGACCCATCTCCAGGCTGCAGGGGCGGGGAGGGAAGCCAGAAAAGAGGCGGGGAGATGGAGAGAGGCGGAGACTGAGGGGTCAGGGTGATAAAGAGCACAGGGGGAGACCGTTACATTGAACCTTATTTTTAATCATTTTCCACTATTTATTGAAGACTCCTTTAATTGCCTTTGCCAAAATTCAACTATCTATACTTGTGTCAATCTACTTCTGGGCTCTATTCTGCTGCATTGCTCTATTTTTGTACCACAACCATACTGTCGGCTATCACCTTTTATTTTGTGAGACTTAAGTATTTTGCATCTGGCTACTTTTGCAAATAGCACTGATTTTTTTTTGGTGGGGGGTAAGGGGTTGTTGAAACAGGGTCTTGCTATGTGGTTCAGACTGGCCTTGAACTTACTATATATAGCTTAGGCTAGTCTTGAACTCGCAACAATCCTCCTGCCTCAGGCTCTGAGGTGCTGGGACTACAGGTGTACACCACACCTGGCTAAATAGCACTGACTTTAATATAAATTTCCAATTGTGTATAGAAATAACAATATTAATAAAATACAACTGACTTTAGTATTTTTTTGTTGTTATCTTCCATCCTTTGCATTCTTATGAAATTCACTTAATAGTTGTGGAAGCTTTTTAAAATGTCGTAAGATTATCAACACAGAGGATAATTTCCTTAACAAAAACAATTTTACTCCTTCTTTTCCAATCTGGATGCCTTCATTTTTTTCTTGCCTTATCGCATCTGTTAGAGGATAGGAATACTAACCCTAACCCAGCCTTTTCACCTTCTTTAAACACAGCAGCAGTAGCATCAGCATTCTGTCTAGCCCTTTGGCCAACAGTCTGAGCTACCCAACATGTGATGCCCTTAGATGGCTTAAGAACTTGTAGGACACTCTGGAGCGCAAGTCCCGAATATAGTATTGCTTTGAGGACGCAGGAGTGACTGGAGCTGTGGCCTTAAATATGGGAGTCACTTAATAGGACGGTCTGATTTCACTACAGAATTTGGGGTCTTCTTGCACGGTGGTAAGGACAAATGAGACGTTAGTTCCATAGAAAAAGAGGAAAATAGAACTAAAGAGTGGAATACCCACAGAACAACATCAAGCAAAGCGAAACAGTTAAATTTTATTTATCTGGAATACAGGACAAATTCACTGCCGGTGACTGAGGCCTGTGGCTGTATTTTCTCCTTAGGAAGGTGGGCTGTGTTTGGCAGGGGCTGTGGTTTGGAATCTGGTTAGATGAGAATGAGATGAACAGAATTAGTTTTCCAAGACTGTGGCACCCCTTATACCAACCAAAGCCTGCCTACGTGTCCTCTTCAGCTCTGCGTTCCCCAGTATCCCTGTCCCCTGGGGTTGCTTCCATCTTATCCCCAATCTCACACCTGCTTGGTTTCCCAGCTGTGCCTCAGGCCGGTCGCCCCAGAGCAGATGCCCAGGATCGTTGAGGAACCGCTGGCTGTGCTGGCATGTCAGGCAGGTCTGCACTGTCCAGCGCCGTCCCCTGCGGCCTGGGGTAAAAGTGGGAGACATGAAAAGGACGCTCAGTCTTATGAGAAGAAACATCTTCTGTACTACGCTTTGCCCTGTTTTTCAGTAACAATGTCCTCCTGCACCCACTTTGAAGGCAAATTTCACGGTGTATGGCCCCTGCACAAACTTCATCGATTCTTGGAACTCTTAAAAAATCAAGTCCAAACGCCTTCATAAGACCGTCCAAGACCGGGCCCGCTTCGTCTGGAGCCTCACTTCCACCTCCTGCCCACCTTCAACTCCAGCCTCCTGAGCTCTCATTTCCGTGACAGCTCTCTTGTGTGGCCATACTTGCCTACACCCAGAACCCCTCTGCTCACTCCGTCATGATCCTCCACTTTATCACGAACCGCTACTCGCACGAGAAACTCACCACTTCCACGATTAAACCATTTTTCTCCATTCTGTTTTTATCTTAGTCTGTCCCCCGGGTGTAACGTCGGTAACAATGACGAATCTCCCACTTGACACGTTTTGGAATCTATTTCTTGCGTGAATGAATGAGTAGCGCTGGCATCACACCCTAGGTGATACCACACAGGGTCTCTGCACGGGCGAGGTTGCCTCTCACAGCAACGTCATTTTCCTGTCGCCCAGAGAAGGAGCGAAAGGAAACCCACGCCTTAGTTTGTGCAGCGCAGTCAGAAGCTTAACGCAGACCTGGAGAAAGCCGGGCCTCGCAGAGCCAAACCTCCCGCACCTACCCCGGGGGCGTCGCTGCCTCGCACCCGCACCCCCCGCCCCGCGGGGCACTCACGTCTCTGTCGCTGGGTGCAGGTGAGGCCGGGGATGAGGAGGGAGGAGCAGCCGCGGCACAGCGTCCTCTTCACCGAGGGGTCCCTGGGGCGTGCCTGCCTGCCCGCCCGCCCCGCCCGCCGCCGGCCCCGCGCAGCCTCACTGTCGCAGCACAAGTCGCTTCGCTATGGTCTTCTCTGTGTGGCAGTAGAACCTCGCCAGCGCCTGGTTCTCGGGGTCCTGAGCGAGGACACAGTGGGCGGCCTGGGGGCGGAAGCGGTCACTCAGGGGCCGGCTGCACCAGGCTCCCTTCCCCGAGCGGCCCCCACGCGCTCACCTGGTACAAGAAGCTCAGCCTCTGGAAAGCCTCGCGGTCCTTCACCGGGCCCGCCATGGCGCCGCCTATTCTCGGCGGCCACGCCCCCGGCGCGCAAAGGCCTCTGGGGAAGTGCAGTATCTGGGCCCGCAAAGGCCTTCTGGGAAATATAGTGCCCGCGGGCGCGTGATCTCACCTTCGCCTGTTGTAAACCCCTCCCCAGGGCACCATTTAGGAGTTTTGGATTCCTTTCTATAGTGCTCAAATCCATAATAATATAGACCATATAAAAACGAGAGGCTAGTGAAGGAATGGGTCTTAAAATGGCTAAATATCCTCAGGAAAAATCTGCCTTTTCAATTTGATAGGTTGGGGAACGGGTTATGTAACAATCAAGTAGACCTCCCACCCTGTTCTCCTGACGCCAAAGACGGGTGCCTGAAGATTTACAGACCGAAGGAACAGTCGGTATACAATAAAAGAAGCAAAACACAAAAGCACTGCTGCTCATGAGGGTGAAAAATCTTGAGTGGTAGAGGGAGAAGGCTTGTCGAGCTCAGAAAGTACAGCTAACTCCCACTTTCCCACGTACCAGACACACACTCACCGTTAGGGCTGAACACACAGCAGGCCATTCACTTTGCTAAGTGAATAGTTTCCAAGTCGTGCTCTTAGGTACAGTACAGAAACCCATCAACAGCAACCCCTGCTCCCTATTGCAGCCCACTCCAGAGACATTCATACCACACTCCCTTCTACAACTTGAGACCTTGCGCTTGCGAGGCAGGCAGCCACAATTTGTCTAATTCTGTTAACGACTAGCAGTCCCTGAGGTCAGAAGCAGAGGGCTGCAGGCTGGAGGGCTAGAATATGACTAAACCCTGAGTCAGTGAGGGCAGCATAAATCCAAAGAGGGACTTATCTCCCTACTCAGAACCCTGGCAGGCTGGGCAGAGAACCAGGCCTTAAGCTCTAAGGAAGGAAATGAGCAGAAACCTCCGGGTCAAGTTTCACAAAGATCCTCACACAAAACTAGTACTTGCTGGTCAACCCAGACCTGGATCAAGTAGAGGTGAGACCCAGGAACATGTATTTTTCACTCCCAGTGATTCTGCATATCAACATAAGGAAGATTATCAACAAATTACCACACGACACAGAGGTCACTTCAGTGGATCCTTTGCTGCGTATTACTTTTACCAGCCAAAGTCTCCTGCCACAAAGAATCACAGTCAAGGCACAAAGGTTAGAGGAGGAGAGGACACAGTCCTATTGAGGTGGTAGGAGGAACCGAAATGCCTGCAGTTCACTGCAGTTTCTTGTCCGTCTTCTGTGCAGCTTACCCAAGCAGCAGACAATCCAGGTTGCTTTAGTTTGGTTTGGCATGCATTGCTTTACCTTGACAACATATGTACTTTACAGGTTTGTTTTGGCCTAACATTAAAATGATATACATTCTCTGAAAGGGGAGATAGCAAAGAGTGAAGGATGGTGACACACATGTGAAAGGCTGTTGTGAACATTAGTTCCAGGTCAGATGCACAGGCAAAAGGAAGTTGCCTGTCTGGCCCTTCCCAACATGCATCATCCTCTTCTACCCTGTTCTCAGGTAAGAAAGACTCCATTACCTTCCTTCCCCTTTGGAATGGACACCTGAGCCAGGTGACAAAGCGGACAATTTGGGAGCAGCGACTGGGTAACACTTTTTAAGGCCAGAACTTCAGGTAGATAAACCTTTCTCTTTCCTCTAATACCAGACTCTTTTTCACGCTCCCTTGGGAGAAGAGTGGGTAGGTGGATGTGTTTTGCAGGGTCTCTCCCCTCACCTCTGAGAGGTGCAAGGTGAACAATCTCTTGGAGACAACTGTGAGGAGGCAGATGAGCCAGCTCTGCTGAAGGCTAAGGCCTGGGTTCTTTTTTTCTACCCTCCCCTTCTCCCCACATTCTTACCTCTGGGCAATCCTAATCATCATGGCTGGGAATAGAAGGCTAAAGAAACCTCCTTCTCTTCAATAGTTTCTAGGAATCTTTTCCTTTAGCTCTTCCCTGATCTTCTAACCTTCATGATGCACAAACTCTGCCCCCACAGAAACTCAACTTCTAGACCCAGTAACTTTCATTCATCCTTTTTCCATCCTGAGGTGCAAAGACCCCTGAAGTTTTCCTCAAGAAACAAAATCATTCTGGTCAAAGAAGCCCCTACTTAGGTTTGTTTCCTCTCTGGTCTCAGCAAAATGAGACCCACCCCCCACTGACTTTCTGTTTCTGGAAAAGCCTTTCCTGACTTTCCAACCTGTCGTTGTGCAATCAGAAAACCTGATGGACAGTGGAGAGGTCATCCTCTGCGGACCAGCTCCCCACTCTTGACAGCAAGGAGGGAGACACAGCTGTGCTCTGTCATGCAGCTCAGTCCTATGTACTTCTCCACAGAAACCATCCTAGAGACCAGAGTGTTTCTCCAAGACGACTCAGGACTCGAGCCAGGTGGACACCAAGACATTCCAGCAGGACACAGCGCACCGCTCTTGACCCTGCCTTACCCCAATGGATCCCACGTCCCACCCTGTCACTCCCAATCTGTCGGGGGCCTGATGGTCAGTGGTGCAGCATTCTTCCGACCAGCCCTGATGCCCGGATAGAAGAGGGGCCAAAGTTTTTCAGTAAAAGTATCAGTGAACGTGTAGATATGTGAGCGGTCTGTGACATTATAAAAAGACAGTGTGCCAGCCTCATAGTCTAGAAATATGCCTACTCGCTTGGGTTTCACCTTGATGTGCAAAGGGGTGAAAGGTGTTGTAGTTGCTGCATACTTGTCCCCATTCCACAGCCGCACCCGCCAGTAGCCAGTCTCAGGAAGTGGAGTCAATTCACCCTTCCGGCTCACAGAGTCCCGGCACACACCCACTGCCCAGTGGGTCTTGTCACCCACTTCCACCTCCCAGTAGTGTCGGCCTGAGGTGAAGCCTTCAGTAGCTAGGACACAAGGGTAGAAGGTGAAACGGCGTGGCGTGTCGGGAAGATCTCGGAGTCTGGTCTCCACAAACTTGACGCTCTTACGATCCTCTGACAGGACTAGGTTAGGATGGGCGGTCTCAGGGTCCAGGGTCACATCCGCTGGCGGGAGAAGCCAGAGTGGGGAGCTAGATGAGGATGGGAATAGCTAAAGCCCCTGCCTCACCTTTCCAGCCTGCCTTACAGAGCCTGGTTCCTTCAAGGTCCCAGAACACTGGGGTGGGTTGGTTAAGGGGAGGGGTGATGGATGTACTTCCCACTGACCCTAAAATAAACAATGATCTCTGGACGCTGCAGGGCTGGTAGTCCTGGTTCTGGTTGTACCTCCTTCCCATCTGATACTATCATTTATCTCATTGTATGGAGAAATATAAGGCATGGTCTGAGGATTGGAAAGAATAAAAGTAGAAGGATCCAGAGCAAATCAATGTTATGGTCTGGGGACAGGGTGACAGGGTGAGCACGTGTTTGTTTCCTTGGAATCATCCTGGTGTATGCGTATTTTTCCTTCATAAATATTAGTGAAACTCCCTTTCCCCCTCAAGCTTATCCCAGCTGAGATGGTAAATTCTAGTCACTCCACAGGATGACTCAAGTAAATTCCTTCCCCTTTCTGCGTGCAGATTTAGGAAGGTGTGGACCTACGAGTAGGTAACATCTGAGGCCTCTTCTCATTCTGCGTTCTGGGACTGAAGCCAGGTAGGGAGCAGCAGTGGATGTGGGCACAAAATAAGCGGAACCTATGTAAGGTAGAGATCTAAGGATTTTCTTCTCTTTGCTGATTCCTTCGACTAGTTTTCTTCTGGGAACAACTCACCAATTAGCTGTTTAAGAATTTTCCTTAGGGCAAAGTACTGTCGGGGGAAACTGCTGAAGTTCTTTTCCAGCTCTATGGACACTGACGTCACCTCCATGGTCTTCACCTTCTCACATCTAGGAGGGATAAGGAGGTGGGGAAGAAAGGGCAGGGTCAGGGGAGTCCAGCCAAGTGAGAATTCAGATGCTTGATCTTTAGGGAGAAACTAAAACTGTCCACTTCCCACTTCCTCCCGGGAAAACTACTTTCTTTTGTTATTGTGAAAGTCACATGGCCAGGCAGATCTTTATTTTGAAAAGGAGCCTCAGGACTTTCTGGGAGCGTTCTTATCGTTCATGCAAATGGATAATCCCCCTCTCAACCCCTTCCTCTTGCTATCTCATTAGGGTACAAGTTAGCCACAGGGACAAACAGACTCTGGTTCTACTATATCTTCTTACCAACCAAGAATTGATGCTTGAGGTGGAAAAAAAAAAACAAAAACACAAGGAATGATTACTCCTAGTGATTTGTTCTCTACCTGGCTTCGTGGGTGAAAGGGCCTTTTTCTATAACCTACCCAGACACTGGCTGACTTCCCCCATCCTTACTCCCACCAACTAATGACTGGATTCCCTAGTCTCTAAGCCAAGGCCTAATTCACTCAAAGAGATACAAGAATCACTTACTTTTCCAGGGTACTTTTGACATCCTAGAGGAATGAGAAAAAAAGAAAGATTGGTCCTGTATTCAAGGGTCCTGAAGGCAAAAGGTTCCCCTTCCTCCCAAAAGTTCTAGGTCTATAAAATAGGCACAGGGCAAACAGAGAGTCACAGTGCAAGAAGGGATCCAGAGGGACCTGAGTACATTTCTTTCAACCTAATCCTCACTTTCAACTGTTGGTCCTCATGAAGGTTTGTAATTTATCTCTCATCCCAGTGGTTTCTTGTATGTTTGTCTATGCTTCTTAAGGACACTGGGACCTTCTTGCAAGAGACAGGAATTGTGTCTGCTCTTCACTCTGTCCCCCAAGTACCAACCACACGCCCCAGTCTCCTCGAGGATCGGCACAGGTAATCCCAGACTGGCAGTACAGGAACAAATCACACTTTCCTAGTGTGCTTTGGCAGCCCCTATCTGGCGCTGGTTAATAAACATTACAAATGTGTGCCAATCCTGGTTTGAGAATACTTGGGGTTCAGAAGACAAAGAAGACAAATCTCTGCCCTGCGTGGATTTCCCAGTTTAATGTGGAAAGCAGAACACACATACATGAAAGGACAAAGGAATAAATACCAAACAATACATAACATGCAAATGTACAGTGAAGCCTCACTGACTCCACTCTTGTGATCTGATCTCTATGATAAAGACCGTGTTTCCTGCTGCTCGCTAACATCAGCAATCTGCTTAGGAGGAAAAACCCAAACATCCTAGAGGCATCACTGGTTAACAAACACAGTATTATTTACATATAACTTCAAATGTCCTTTAAAGTCTTCTTTTTTAGCACTAGATAAATCAAGTTCTAGGTCTGAAAAGTAACGGTAACTGCATTTACACAATTAGAATGCAGTTTACACTAAGCAGATTAGACGACTTCTCTCAAAGGAGTCCATTTTTCTTTTGGTACAAATTCCTTTGGTACAACATAATTGTTGACAAGACACAGTAACACAAAAATGATTAGAAGGGTACGGGAGAAGCCAGAGAAACCTTTCTGTAGAAAAAGATCCTCTGCGTCTGTCTGGAAGAGCTGTACTCCGGGAAGCAAAGCGGCAGACTGAGCAGCCGCCCGGGGCAAAGCTACACTGCGCATGCGCGACCCGAGGGGCTATGCAGGGGCCAAGGGCGAACCTTAAGCATCTCGAAGCCTGACTGTAAGCACTTGCCCTCCACCTCGGCAGCCAGGTGGGCCAGGTCCCGGCGCTTGTCCCCGAGGTGAGCGGCATTTTCTCGGAGTCGCTGCAGGATGTCCTGCTCCTCCTCCTCCAGTCGTGAGAGCAAAATCTGCTGCTCTTCATCCAGCCGTCTATGAAGCTCTTCAAACTCCTTTAAAATCTGCTGCCGGCGACTTTCCACCAGTCTCTGAGGAAAGAGGAGGGTCAGGTTAGGTCAGCAGGGGAGGCAGAGGCCCACACAGACTTCCGCCCGGGCACAACCTGCCAGGCCCCTCGCTCTTCTCCCACTGGAAGCCTCCCTCGTGAAGAGAGCTACCACCCCGAGCACCCCGGGTCGGCCTGGGGAGAAAGAACATGGAAAAAACCAGTCTTATAAAAAACACTTATTCCTCAGGAAATTCAGTTCTCAAAAACTTGTCCTTTTACATGTTAATACAATATATTGAAGAAATAACTCACTAATATGACAGCTGTTACAGAGATATTTCTGCTATTCCCAACTCCAAAATTTAACTTATGCAATCTGTTAAGGAAAACTACAAATTCTAGAAAGTTAAAGATAAGACTGTCATTATTTGTATAAGACTAGAAACTGATAAAAACCAGAGAGCTAGAGTACTATCAGAATTAGTGAGAGTGTAATGGGTTGTTACAAAGTACACATGTAGATTTAAGGGCTGAGGCTGTTAAATAGTGAATCTGTTACATAGTTTCAAGTCTCTTAAAAGAATTGGCAGTTCCCAGTAACAGGTTCTGAAAGTTTGTTAATAAATTAGTTGTTTGAAATTTGAAACACACTTTGTCTATGCCAGCACATAAATTTAAATCTCTAATGTGTGTTTTTTTTTTTTTGGGGGGGTGGACTGGGGATTGAACCCAGGGCTTTTGCAATGAACTGCACTCATAGTCCTTTTCAATATTTTTTAAAAAGATTTTGAGACAGGGTCTGAGTTGCTCAGGCTGGGCTTGAATTTGCTAACCTTCTGTTCAGCCTGAGTGCTCGGATTACAGATGTGCACCAACACGCTCAGCTAAAACCTTTAACGTGCCTACACTTGATCAAGCCCAGCATTTCTGGATTTCAAGCTAGTTTTCATGTGCATGCTGGTAGTGCATTCTTACCACATTTGCCCTGAAGTGAAATACAACCTGTGTGTGTGTGCGTGAGCGCACACATGCATATGTGTGCACCAGGTTATGTATGGGTGATGTATAGGTATTTCCTCAACGTTCTTTTTTCAGGACCAGGGACTGAATTCAGGACTCTGTGCTTGTCAGGCAGGTATGGTACCATTGAGCTAAATCCCTGGCCCATATATAGGTATTTGAGGACTCATAACAATGGCAAATGGAAAGCAAAAAGCCTCCTTCTTACAAACCCATACTTTCTTCTCTTTCTTCACTCTACATTTGTGGAGAGTGGTTCTAAATTAGGGTATGTACTTCTGAAGACGGGCACTTTCTGTCTGCTGTGTCAGGGATGCCAGCACTTGTAAAGTGAGAAAATCCTGCATGATGAACTGTCCTGCATCATATTCTGCTAGATATTAAAAATGTAAGTCTGGACTTGAAGGCAACGTTGTATATAAGCACAGAGGAATTCTTACATGAATTATAGACAACTAAAAACTCCTAGAATAGCTGAATGAAACTATTAAGATTGTGTTTTCTTAAAACTTTACAGGAAGTTATTATTTTGAAAGTCATGTCATCCAAGAACTAAGCTGTTTGGGCTGTTTGAGTCACACTATGACATGGTAACTTTTGTCTGAACATTCTATCTACTGAACTGTTGATTATGTCACATTTGCGTAGGGATAAGCCTGTAAGTACGTTGTAGTCTTTAGGGGCAGTCATGGCCCAATACTTATACATCAAATTTTAGTACAAATTCCTTCTATGGTAATAATCATGTGGTGGTCATGCTAGTCTCTTTAAAATTATGTAGGTTATTTATCTTTAATTTTCACTTTGGCGTAGCTAATTACAATTTTTTTTTACTGTGCTAGGGCTGAAAGGCCACACTACACAAGTTCTCTGATACTGAGCTGCACCTACAGCCCCTGCAAGCTGTTTTTAAAGACGGTACTGAATCTGATTCCGGAGGTAGGATGAGGGCAAGGGAGGAAGAAGAATTCAAATGGTTACAAAAGGAATGTTTTGTGTCACAGTTTCAGAGGCAACTGAAATGATAATTGACAATAAAAAAGATAGCTTTATTAAGCTTTTAGAAGATTTTTATCCCTCTATCCTTTTGCTTTTTGAGACAAGGTCTCCCTATGTAGTTCAAGCTGGCCTCAAACTCAGTGATCCTCCTGCCTCGGCCTCCTGAGTGCTAGGATGACAGGCGTGTGTCAGCATGCCCAGCTTCCCTTTCTATACTTTACCTTCAAGAAGGTGATCAACAGAAAAAGGAAAATCAATGACTGGAAATAAGCTCCATTTTTACATGTGTTAAATTTCTCAGACGCCCTCCAAAAGGACAACAAACTTTTGTTTAAAATCCCAGGCCAGGGATTTAACTCAGTGGCACTGCTCCTGCCTCATAAGCACAAGGTCCTGAGTTCAATCCCTGGTACCAAAAAAAAA